AAGCGCTTTATGACTGCATTTCACTTTGACCGTTTTAATAGCCGACTTAAAATTAGCACAAAGTGTAAATGCAAATCAAAATATAAAAAATAGTAGTTAATCAATTACGACCTCAATCAATTATCATTAACGCAGTTCATTAATTGCTTGCGCAAATCTCTTCTTGACAAGGAATTTTAATGCAGAAACAATGAACAGCCTTTTGGACGGCTCATTCCATTGCCGTGTGGTTTCTTTCTCAGAGCAGCAGGCAAACGCGATACCTAATCCAACGACAGAACTTGTCCTTGCAGACTGGTCAGAGGAATACCAGTCGCTGTGTGATGCAGCGCAAGTAGCAGCGTATTATGATAGGGAGAGTTTAAAGAGAATGACAGAATTGGCTTAGTATGAGACTCCAACTGAAATCTCGATTATTGCTAATGTGCAAGCGTACAGAAACAAAAGGATCACAACAAATATATGTGCAAAACTGGGGACTAAAAAAGTACAACAGTTTAATACAAAGTAATGCACTTCGAAACTACGGTAAATGTCAAAGGCAGTAGCAGGCATCGCAACTGACAAAACAGTTCGTCGGCACCACTGAGAGGTTCAGGCACAAAATTAACATGGAAAACACCTTCAGAACAGAACAAGAATTCAAAATAGTCGCTGAAGGCTTTCGCTGGGGCCTAAAGCAACAACGATAGAAACAACCGGTAAACTGACTACGCAACAAGTACCAAAGAGAATAAGTAGCTCAATGGACCGACGAAGACCACTTCGTTTGAAATGTCAAATTTTTCACCGTTTTGGAAGTCCAGATAAAATTCCAGGGAAAGTTTGCCTTCAGTTCGAGTGAGGTAGCCTATAAAGTCATCAAGTTGAAAAAAGACTCGCAAATATTGCAGTTATCCATGCTTTCAAGGACGGACATTTGCACGGCCAAACGAACGATCTCACCGACAGCCACTTCGAAATCTGCCGTTCTTGAATACGGTACGCCGTTCACGCATATCTCTGGAAATGGAAAGGGATTCATTGCCAGTTTAAGAACCATGATTCAGCGCAAGAATATGAGTAACGCGGATTAGGCTTTAACACAACACAAGACAATGCAACTGAGTACAACAATGAATCCTTCCAAAGATCTCACAGATACGAGACTCATCGCTACAGCAAATTGCAAACTGATGCTGCTAAATGTTCGATCAATCCAGAAGTGGGCAATGATATAAACATAAACCATGACCAGGAAATGCTCAAGACTTTAACCACTCTAAATGCGACGAAAGTACAAAGAAATTAAGTGATAACTCAATAACAATAAGTGGTGCTCATATCGGCAAGTCTGCATTATATAACAACATATGGCAACAAAGAAAGCAAGAGACAACCACTAAGAAAACATCTGAATGGTAGGAATTTGTCACCGCCCACTGCGTACCAACACAGAATTACGAAAATGTGCGTCAAATCACTTCGGTGGATCAGATCTGGCACGTCCGGCTGAAGAAGTCGATTGTGCGATGTTTTAACACCATGCTTAAAAATAAAACTTTACTAGCTTACAGATTATGGTGAAAAAAATGCCATAAATCCCAAAAGCGAAACCGTTTCGTCGTTACAAAACACTGCATACTGCTGTTTACCAGCATCAATCATCGGT